TGGGAAGTCAGGCTGCCTCCCACCCCAACGAAGGCACAATAAGATCAGGAATCTGAAGGGCCAAGGTGGGGAATGGGGGTGTTGCTCAGAGCTCCCCAGGTGGTTTTAACACATGGCTGGGGCAGAACAGCCCCCAGGAGACCAGAGCGTCTCCAGACTCTGTAATGGGACGGCACAGGCATGGGTCTGCTGCTATGGGAGCATCTGTGAGAATCTGCAGGAAGAAAGTTTCGGGCTGCTCATTGTACACAGCCAGAGGCCACAGTTTCTGTCCCGGCCCCGGCGGGCATGGGGGCAGCTGCGAGTTTGTGACAGATGTGGACAAGCATCTCAATCTCCCCTGCCTTCCTCGGACAAGTGGCTGACACTCATGCTGTGCAGCCTGGAGGGACAATGGCAGAGAGCTGCCCGCCAAGGCTGAGGTCAGCTGGGAGTCACAGAGTAACCTCTGGGTGCGCTCAGCGTCACCGTCTGCCAGGATGACAGGCCTCACGGACAGCCACCCCGGCAGCACCTTGGGAACACAATGCAGGCTTCCTGGACACACTGGGGCTGTGGTACTGGGGCTCCCTAATGCTCACACTCAAGCTGCAGCCTGCAGGCTGGGCCCGGGAAAGCCAGTGCTATCATCCTAGGCCAAATTCCAAGGTCCAAGAACCAGGGGACCCACTCCAAGGGCAGCAACGGTCATCCCAGCTCATGCAAAGAACAGATTCACCGTCCCGACCTCTTCCCTTCGTGCCCTTGTCCTCTCCACGCCACATTACTGCCGTGCTGTGCACAGCTCGTGGTCCTCACTCCTCTCTGTGGTGTTTTCCCTTCTGGCTGCTTTTAGGACCTTCTCTCTCCTGGGTTTTGAGTAGTCGAATTAGGACATGTTTTCTATTCTTTTCTTTGAGTCGATCCTGGCTGTGATTTCCTAGGCTTCTCTATCTGTGCTGTTATTGCTTTCATCGAATTAGGGAATTTGAGGGCCTGTTTCCTCATGTTTTTTCTGCCATGCTTCAACTTCATGTGGGCTTAGACCCTGCACGCACACCCCGAATGCAGCCCGGCGTGCTTTGCTTCAGCTCAGGACGCTTGCACTGCCCCGCGCTCGGGTGCTCACGGTGTCCCCATGAAGTGTTGCTGCTGTTCCGGAGTGTGTCCAGGAAGTTTCTTACCTCACGGGCCACCTTTTCACCTCTGGAATCACTGCCGGTTCTTGTTTATGGCTCTTGTGTTTCTCTTAAATTCAAAAGAAAACACAGTTGTCATTTCAAAGCATTTACAATAGATATGTGATTCGGGTTCTGTTGGCTTTCCCCTCCTGATTGTGGCTTATGTTTGCAGCAGTTTGTGTGTCTGGACGTGGCCGGTGCTGCTACAGCAACTACCTCTGTCATCCCTTGGGTGCTGGCTTCAGGTTCCCACGGGCAGGTCCAGAGGCCTCGACCCGGGTGGTGGTTGAGGCCCACGCACCATGCGTGGTGTTTCATGGGTGCCTGCTGTGTGCCTGTTTTTCAGTTAGTCTGTGTCCCTGGGTCATTAGAACCCTGGAGTCTGGCCTGTATGCTCACCAGGTCCCACTCAGCGCCCGCTCCCCTGCTTCTGTCCCTTGCCTGACTTGAGGCCCAGCCCATGACTCAAATACATTCCTGCCATGCATTCTGGCTCCTCTGCTCCCTCACCCTCTGCCTTCCAGGTCTGAAACATGTTCTACTCCCCTCTCAGAGGTTGGGGTTCAGGGGCTGGGGATTTAGCTCAGCGACACCACCACCTTCCTCTCAAGTGCAAGGTCCTGAGTTCGATCCCCTGTACCAAAAACAAAAAAGCAGGTTGGGGTCCCACAACACCCGCAGACAAGTATCTCAGGATAGTTTTCCTGTCTGTTTGGTGTCCAGCAGTTTGTTCCGGCCATTGAGGTTCCTTTCCCTCACCCCTGACTATGACCCCTTCCCTAACCTGCACCAGAAACCACAGGCACAGCGTTCATCCTGAGCTCATCAGCCCCACAGTGTGAAACCACAGCAGCGCTGGGGAATCACTGAGCTCTGAGTCTCAGAGGGAGTGGCAGTCTTCCAGAGGTGGCTACTCTGTGTATGAAGTCCTGGAGAATAGTGCCCCTCTTCCAGTTGGCTGTACCCAGCGGAGGTGGGATACACACCCTGGGAGGTCCAGTGCTAAGGTGTTTCTGTGAAGCAGACCAAGCTGAGATGCTGAGGAAAAACAATCTCTTAGTCTCCTTCTATCCTTGTCCCCGATACGCAGATGTTGAAGGAAGATAGCAAGGGTGTAGCTGGGCTGCGGGGTAGATACTGGACCATGTTACGCAGGTCAGTGTGCCATGGAGACCAGCAGGGGTTGAACTCTGCTGTTCCTGAGGACGGTGTCACTGGACCGTATGCGCATCTCAATCAGCCTGGAGCCTTGGCCGGGCCACATGTTTTGTTCTTCTGCATTTTGGGGGGGCACAGAGTCCAAGGGGGGCTTTTGCTGCTGTAAACAAGTGGGTACAGTTGGGACAGTCCCAAGTGACGCCTCCTTCTGGGTGCTCTGAACACCCTATGGGGCTCACTCTGGTGAGGCCTGGGACCATCAGGTCCTCACAGGCAGCACTGATCCCGAGCCCAAGAGATGTACCTTCTGGTCTCATCCTCTTCTGGGTCAGAGCAGGGAGAGCAGCTAAAACTAGGCGAGTTCTGTCACCATCCCTGAGGAGAGGGAAACACAGGTAGGAGCCACACTGGGAACCTCCAGGTATCTGGTAATGTTTGATCTGCCGCTGCTGGATGGGCAAAGGCAGCTGCCTCACTCCCAACTGCAGGGCCCATGCTCCAGGCCAGCCGCAGGGGTAAGGTAAGAGCCCAGAACTGGTGCAGCCAGTGGGAACAGATGCAGGATGCTCAGGTGTCCTCACAGGAGCCCCAGAACCCCTCCAAAGTACCCCACCCACGGTCGGGACATTATCTAGCCCTTCATCCACCCCATGTACAAGGGTGCTCAGGCCCAAGCCCCTCCACCCTCACAGCAGCAGCCCAAAGCATAGGGCTGCTCCCCGGGCCTGCATCTGACCTGGGTCAATGGCCTCAGCAAACCACAGGAGCAGCCCACGTCCACCCATCGCATCTACCCAGGCAGCTCCTGCCAGGCTGGGGCCAGTGGGCTTGGGGCCCTGGGCAGGCAAAAGACTGGGCAACATTATACGTAGTGAAGAACAAGAGTTATTTTGTGGCTCAGAACCAGAAAAGCTAGTACTCCAAATTAGTTCAGGGAAAGCCATGAACCCACACTTCATAAACCACCAGTATATTCCGCAAAACTGACCACTGAATACCAGCCCAGCACACAGACCCCTCACTGGACGTCAGCATCCATGACCTTAAACTCCCTGCTCCTTCGGCAGGATGGGCCGTAATTAAAGCGCAGCCCATGAGCCAAGGCTGGTCCACTCCCACCAATGCGAGCAATTTTTGGCCAGCAGAATGTGACCAGGGCTGTACTAGGGTTGACACCCCCGGTTCTACCTGCCAGGAACAAAAAAGGTGACTTCTGTAGGTCCAGGGTCCACACAACACCACCCGCTCCCGTCCTTTCCTCCTCTGTGCTTATCTTCTTCCTCCTACTTGGCCCACATAGCTCAGTCAGCCCTGCACATTTTCCTAGAACTCGGAATCCTACCCACGTCTGTTACCCCTCCTCTCCTTCACCCGGAAGCCACTTCAACTCCAAAACTTTTCCTTTTGGGCTGTCCTGGACCTTTTCAGGGAGCCCAGCTATTTCACTCCTCCACTACTAAGGGTGGCTGCTAAACCAGCTCTGTCCACAGGGAGGAGGGCTTCTGAAGCTCAGCCCCAACCGCACCTCCACCCCTGTCCCCGGAAGCTCACAGGAAGTGGACCTGAAGCTTGCAGGACAGTGGTGGCGAATCTATGGCTTGCATGCTGCACTGGACTGTGTCATCATCGAAAACTCTAAAAGGTTTGCCATCATTGTCTTAGAAGAACAGCCTTGGGTAGGCAGCTTCATAGATGGAACACACACACACACACACTGTAAAACATAAAAGTTGATAAACTGTACTTCATTGAACATTTAAAGCCAGATGCCAAAAGGGCGAGCCATGAGTGCAGAGCTCTCGTCGCACGCACAGGTCCGACAACACGTCAGAAGAACCCAGGAACTCGGCCACAAGACACTTACTTGTTCTCTTAGAGGAAAAGGCCTGACAGCACCTCCCAGGAGTATGTGCGGATGCACCTGGGCTCAGAGCAGCTTGGCATCCGCAGTTGCTCCAGTCTCCCGGCCACCAATGCCAAGAAGACGCTGGCCACATGTTGGCGAGGCCCAGCCCTCACGCCCCACTGTGGGGACTGGGACCTTGTTCCCACTTTGAAAAGCAGTTTCCTCACCAGTTCAGCCTGTGCCTGCTTCTCAGCCACCCTGTCCTGCGCATCCCCAGGGACTCAGCCGCATCCACCCAGGAAAAGGGACAAGACCCAGAGCTCCACACAGGGGTGGTGAGGACCCCACCCCTCGTGCTCCCACAGTGGCACTCACTGCACCCTGATAAGCAGAGGAAGCCACTGTGGGACTCCCTTTCTGGGAAGCTCAAGAAAGGCTGGACAGCAGCAGGACAGGGTGCCTAGAGCGTGTCCCGTCCACAGTGGTAAACACTCGTCAGAAACCACCGAACTGCACACTTGAAATGGGCGCCTTTTCCTATTGGTGTCAGTACAGGTGGTTTAAAGGTGAACCCTGAGACTGTCCGCAAACCTTGGGCTGTAACTTTCATCCCTTCTCAGGGCATAAGGGCACCTACAGTGGTCACAGTGCTGTCTCCTATCACCCTTAAACTCCAAGAATCCTGTGTCCCATGAGCTTAGTTCCCTGAGGCCTCATGTCTGAAAACCCAAGAGAGAAGACTCTGGCCCATCCTCAGTCCTGCTTTTCAAGAGCCAGGCTGGATGGGGCACACACTGTGTCCTACAGCCCTGGCTCACCCTTGGGACCATCCACAGGTGGTCCTTATCCTCAGCGGGAACCTAAGCTTTCTGAACTGGCTGACCATTGTGCCCAGCCTCTCCTGCTTTGATGATGCCACACTGGGATTCCTGTTCCCTTCAGGGCCAGGTGGCCTGAAGGATCAAGTCCTACGGATACACAAGGAGGAAGCTGGAGGGGCCCAGCCTAAGCCAAGATACGGTAGGTGACCCTAACCCTAACTCCTTCTACATGCTGGGGACGGGGAGGTGTCGGCTGTGTGGGGACCCTGTGCCCTCGGTCTTGGTTGGGGATGAGAGGTGCTCGGAGGGCCCCCGGCCATAAGAACTCACCCCCACCCCACGCTAGGCTGCTTGGTGAGGCGTGTGGCCAACCTCTCGCTGGGCATCCTGCTGGCTTGGCTCAGTGTGCCTGTGGTCATCAACCTGCTGAGCTCCAAGCAGGTCATGAACACCTCCTTCAGTCCACTGCGGATCGTCAACACCTACGGGGCCTTTGGAAGGTACGGGGAGGGTTCCCAGGGAACACTTGGCTCTGCCCATATGCTTGGTGCCCTGTTCCTCAGCCGAACATGTCCCCTGCCCCCACCACCCCCAGCACTGCAGCGAGAAGCAGAACTCACACCTCACCTGTGACATGGAGACGCCTTGTTCTCCCCACAGCATCACCAAGGAGCGGACAGAGGTGATCCTGCAAGGCACAGCCAGCACCAATGCCAGCGCCCCTGATGCCGTGTGGGAGGACTATGAGTTCAAGTGCAAACCAGGAGACCCCTGGAGGCGGCCGTGCCTGATCTCCCCCTACCACTACCGCCTGGATTGGCTCATGTGGTTTGCAGCCTTCCAGGTAAGGATGTTCCACCACTGGCTCTCTGACCTCTCACATGGCAGGGACAGTGGGCATGGAAGCTCCCAAAATAGCTGCCCAGGGGAGGTGGTACCCACCCTGGCCATACAACCCTCGACCTTTGCTATGGGCATGTAGGTGGGTGGTGGTACCAGCTCCAGAACAGAGCCTCTGTTCTTGTCACTGAGCTTGCAGGGCAGTGCCTGAGGATATGGCCTCGGAGGGTAAGGCTAGGCCAGGCCAGGCATGGCTGAGGTAGCCAGGACAGTGCCTGCCTTGGACACATCCGTGAGGCTGGGTATCCAAGCATATGATGACTGACCCTTGCACACCAAGCTGGTGGGAGACAAGTCTGTGGTACATGTCCTCAAGGGAATTCAAACGACCACACTCCAGCCAAGATGTAAGGAACTCAGAGTGGCAGGCAGATGGCAGGTGACAGGCCAGGGCCATGGGAGGTCTGCCCCTGGGATACGAGGTCTGCACACGTGGCCTCATCCACCCTGTTCCCCAGACCTATGAGCAGAATGAGTGGATCCTGCACCTGGCTGGCAAGCTCCTGGCCAACGATGCTGAAGCCCTGTCCCTGCTGGCCCTCAACCCCTTTGAGGGCCGCGCACCCCCCAGGTAAGACCCCAAGGTCCGCAGGTCCCCTATTCCCCATACCCACTCCCCACATAACATCTTCTCCCACCATCTGCAGCGGGAGGCTTCAGGGAGCAAGGCTTACCAGGGGTGCTACTAGCCTGTGGGTCCCTCAACCCAAAGGGACGGACTGATCACCCATTCTGTGGCCCGCCCAAGTCACACCTGCCATCACCAAGAGGAGCCAGGGATAGCTATTCTAGAAACCCCCCACTGATGTTCCCAGGGCCCAGCACAAGTGACCAGAGGCCCCATTTCACAGCCACACACATGAGTTGCACACCTGTGTAGAGAGGAACCCTTAAGGTACCAGTCTCTGTACCCAGCCTGTAGAGGTGTGGGTGGTTGGGGGGGCGGAGGGTGGACTTTGGCTCTAAGGCTGTCTGGCAGCCCAAGCAAGGTTGACCTGTAGATGATGTGGTAACATGTGGGGAGCAGTCTGCGTAGGGTTACGCACTGTCAGGAGCTAAAAGGGTGGCACTGGGGTGGAAGTGGGCTGATTGTCCTAGCCAGACTCCTGTACAGGCCCTATGGGGTGAGGAGGGTAAGGACGGGGGACTGGAGTATGAGCAGCATATGGCACAGCACGGCACCGGATTGATTTTGGGGCCTGAATCCTCAGGGAACTAGCAGCTATGTGGGATGCTGTGCCCCACATAAGGAGGTGTGCATGGGCCTCTGAGCATGGATGGGAATGTGCAGGGCAGGGTGTAGGTGGCAGGGGTCCTTGGTGGCCTTCTCCTTAGGCTGGAGATGAGGTGTTCTTAAGCGTTGTACAGATTGAGTGGCCACCACGACTAAGGACTGCATGGGCCTGAGCTAGCCCAGTCCATCCCAGGGTCATTGATTCTGACAGTAAACACATTCCTGTTTTTCCCTTCAGCCGGCTCAGGGCAGCTGCAGCTCAGAACTACCCACAGCTGTGAGGCCTGGGTAGTCAGGGACTGCAGGGCTGCCGAGCAGCTGCACGAGCCTGGCAGGCACCGCTGCCACATGAGCGGCTGAGTCCCCTCCCCATCCCGTGCTGCCACAGAGCCGTGGGACTGGAGCTGGGTCCCTACAGGCCAGTGCCCACCCCCAGAGTCCCCAGAGTCCCCTGAGCATAATGAGAGCTCAGGCTCCCACTTGGGGTGGCCACCCCGCCACCCACTACCCCCTTTCTGTGAACTAGCATAAAGGCCTTCCCGATTTGCCTGCCCTGTGGCCACTGCAGACCAAATAGGTCCGGTCCTGTGGGCCAGACACTCATTCTCAGTTTGCCGGGGCCGCGCTGCCACCTGGCCCCAGAGCTGTATCCTTGCAGACTCCAAGCAGGTTTTGTCTCTGACTGTCCTGATCCCAGCAGCCCCAGGTTGGGGACATCAGGCCTGGCCAGGCTCCTGCTGCTCCCCTCGGGCCAGAGCCTCTGGACCAGACCCTAAGCCCAGCAGGGCTGTGTGGGGCCTTTGGGCCATCCGGGTCTTCTGGAGCTGGCTCTAAAGGGCTGTGCACCCATGACAGGGAGGGAAAGCCCCACCCTGGGCAAGTGAATGGATTAGAACATCGGCTTCTCAGCCCGGAGGCACTAAGCAGTTTAGCTGCACCTTGTGAAAGCCAAATCTCTCCTAAAGGGATGGACCCTGGAAAACCGAGATGCACAAATGGGTGCATCTTTTATGAGAAGGCGTAGTGACCTAATACTCAGAGGAAACGTTTGAGGCAGCCAAAATATTTAAAATGGACCCAGAGCATGTGACTGCTTGGCAGCTGGAGCAGGACCGCATCTTGATGGCCCTGACCATAGCCTGGGCGTGAGCCTGACTGCATTCGTTTCACCTGTGAGTGTACAATGGGTGAGCTCAGCCCTCCACTGTGAGAAGGTGTCCAGAGAGAACATGTTTTCCCCCCTACTGAGTGCAGCAGACCCACCTGGCTTGAAGAGGGAGCTCGAAGAAGCTACCTGCAAGGGTCTTCTGGACCCAGCAACTGCCCCAAAGGGAAGTGAGTTCTGGTTTTCTTTCCCCGCACTTCCTAGACATGGAGACAGTAACAGCAACTTGGAAATGCCGGCAGACAGCAGCAGTACGCCCAGGGAGAGCTGCTCCCTATGGGAGTGATGGCCCGGCACCAGACAGGGGTGGGAAGAGCCCAGCCTCTGCAGGGGGCCTGGGTGCTCCTCCCCAGCGGGCCGCAAGTCCCACTCCCGCTGCGCAGCGCCGAGTGCTCTCCTCCCCAGGGTCGGTGCGAGGTGAGGCCAGGAAGACAGAAGCCACACTCCCCTAGCCACCAGGACACCCTCGTGTGTCAGCTAGGTACGGCAGTGAAGCGGTACCCACCCTCCTGGCACCGTCAGAAGCAGCCACCTAAAACGGGGATCAGGTAAGAGCCGGGATCCGAGGACATCCAGAATGTTCCGTTTTCAAATGAAAAACCCCTTCATCACACTAAAAACCGGAAGATACTAAACCGAACAGGAGACCAGACAGTCAGCAGGAAACCAAGCAGACACAGACCAGTGCTGGTACTGGTAGCCCTGGAGCAGCTGCTGTAGAAGGACTTGAATAAGGAGCTGTGAGTACAGCAGTCAGCAGAGAATCGCAAACCAGGAGGAGAAACCGAATGGAAGTTTGGAAGTGGGAGACACAGTAAGTGAAGCAGACCACGGAGGGAGAGGCTCAGAGTCGAGGGAGAGCACAGAGGGAAGAGTTGGGGACCTGGAAGGACAGGAAACGGCCGTTGCCCCGCTCAGAGCAGACGCCGTGAGCTTTCATCAGGGTCCCTCGGGGACAAGAATTCTTGGGTCAGCAGGCACTTGGAGAAGCAATGACTGAGGAGGAACAAACTGCACAACCAGTAAACTAAGTGAACTCAAAAGTCCACACCAAAACACACCAAGGTGAGACTTGTGAAAACCGAGGACAGCAAGGAGGTTGAGGAGTGAGCCAGTCATGACCCTGCCTGCGGGAGAGGCAGGCAGTGACACTGAGGAGCCCACTGGCCGGTGCACGCCCTCTTCGGATGCCACCCAGAGCCTCCCCTGCAAAACGGGAAATCAAAGCACCCTCGGACGAAGGGAAGATGGAGGTGTTGTCGCCAGGATGGCCTCCCTAAAAGACCAACTAGAGCAAGCTCTCCCGACAGAAAGCAGGAAGTAGACAGAGCAACCTCCAAGCGCTGAGGGGAGAAGCCAGACCCCAGGGAGTCCATGATGCTTCTCCCATTCCCAGTCCTGCTTGGTAGGTAGGTGAGGAGTGTGACACAGCCTCGGGAGGACATAGGATAGCACTGCTCCGGATGGCAGAGGGCAAGTGGACATAGGGAAGAAGGTCTGTACTGGGACTGGCCTAGGGCACCAGCGGCCTGTACGGTACATGTATAGAACACACCAAGAGGGCCGGGATGCAGCTCAGTGGTTCTGGCGCCTGCCTTGCAAGTGCAAGGACCAGAGTTCGATCCCCGGTACAAAAAAAAAAAAAAAAAAAAAAAAAAAAAACAAAGGATCAAAAAATAAAATTAAAAAAAAAAGCAGCCACCAAAATACCCAATCCATACGAAGAGATACACTTAAAGATACTATTGGCAAATCAAAAGAAGATTCTAAAAAATATTTCTGTAACTCATAAGGAGGCAGGGGGGAGCCAAAGACATTAAAACTCATAATGATGCCGTGGTATAAACCTGTAGTCACAGCTACTCAAGAGCCTAAAGGCAGGAGTATTGTTTGAGCCCAGAAGTTGCAGAAAGCCTGACTTTGGAAGAGTCTCTCTTCAAAGGAAGGAAAAGAAAAGCAGTGGAGGAAGAAAGATAGAAAAGATTTTTAAAAAACTGATAATTTAAATCCTAACATAGTTATATTAAATATAAACTGTCCAAATTACCAATTAAAAATAAGGATTGGCAGAGTTGATTAAAAAGCATGATGGAGCCGGGCGTGGTGGCACATGCCTGTAATCCCAGCACTCTGGAGGCTGAGGCAGGATGATCGCTGTGAGTTCGAGACCAGCCTGGGCTACATAGTGAGTTCCAGGTCAGTCTCAACTACATAGTGAGACCTTGTCTCAAAAAAAAAAAAAGCATGACGGAGCTGGGGATTTAGCTCAGTGGTGCCACTGCCTGCCTGGCAAGTGCAAGGTTCTGACTTCATTCCTTGGTACCAAAAAATAAAGCATGACCCAGCCAGGTGTGGTGGTGTTGCCTGTAATCCCAGCACTCAGAAGGATGAGGCAGGAGGATCCCTATGAGTTCGAGGCCAACCTGAGCTACACAGCGAGACCCTGTCTTAAAAAAAATAAAATCATGACCCAACCATGTGATGTGTATAAGAAATTCACCCCAAACATGACAGCGTGGCCAAACTGAGGATAAAAGGATGGGAAAAGATATGTCTCATATATATTAATGCAAAGCAGGAGTGCAGATAGACTTCAGAAACAAAAATGGGCATCAGCTAAAGATGGGAGGGTCAACTCACTAAGGAGTCAGCAACCCTACAGCCCGAGTGCCAAGTACAGGGCTTCACACTGTGGAGAAAAGTGCACAGGGCTGAAAGGCAAAATGGAGGCATCCAGAATCCCCAGTGGACTCCTGAATACTCTTTCTGCAGCAGCTGGCCCAATAACTGGGTGACAACAGCAAGCAGTGGGACCTAACCAACACGACAGGACACGCCACCCACTGAACCGAACAAAAACACGTCAGAATATGTGCGATGAAGGTAACTCTGTGGAACTACCTGGCAGTGCCTAGAGAAGAGACCCTGCGGCCACCGTGCCACCCAGTGATACCACCCTCGGACACACAGCCCAGAGAAACGGGTTTGGGCAAATCCTGCCCGCGAACGTTCATAGAGCGTTCATAGCCTGAAGCTGGAAAGAACCCAGACGCCTTTCACAGGCCGCTGACCACGCCTTGGGGTCATCTCCTCGGGACTAAGTGAACCTCAGGAAAGGAGCTGCCGGGGTGAGAGCTCGGGTGGTGATGGGTCCTGGGATCTCACACTAGTTCTGCAAGATGTTGCCCCGACTCAGATTTTAAGTGTGCTAGGAGACCTGCTGCTTTGTTCGGGCAGTGTCACGGCCCTCCCGGCCACCCCCACTCACCCATCAGTGCACACAGGAAGCCCACAGCATCTCCTTCCACCCCAGCCCCTCCTTTGATTCCCACCCGTCCACACCCTGGGCCAGGTGTCAAGGAGGAGCCTATAAGCAGCCAAGTGATGACCACATGGTCACAGCAGAGAGAGCCTGCCTTGGCCAGGCCACCCTCCACCCTGGGGCCCTTCGTGCTTGGATTCTGACTCAGAGAGGTGGTGGGATTGTCACCTCACTGGGACAGCAGCTTTGAGACCCACAGTCACCACCTCCCCTCCCTATCCCCATTGAGGGCCTGGGTCCTTCCACCCGGCCCACACCCAGGCAGGGAGGGTAGATTGGAACCCAGGGATCCCTCAGAACTCAGGGACGCAGCATGCGCCATCCTTGAAACATGCCTATCTCAGATCTAAACCTGACAACGGGTAGAGAATGTGAATGAGAAGCCATCGTCCTAGTCACAGTCTGTCCAGGGTTGGGGGGGCCTTTGCCAGCTCCGTCCATGGTGGCCTGGGTAGGCGGGAACGCAGGGTCCTGGACGAGGGTCCCTGTGAAATGTACTCACCTTGAGTGAGGACCTCGGGCCCCTGGAGAAGCTGCGTCTCAGCGCAGGGTGGGCAGGGTGGGCAGGGCACCCACCCTCCAGGCTGACGTGCCGCCCCCCACAGGTGGGTCCGTGGAGAGCACTGGAGGTACCGATTCAGCCGCCCCGGAGGCAAGCACGCCTCAGAAGGCAAGTGGTGGGCGCGCAAGAGGATTGGCCCCTACTTCCCCCCACTGTGCTTGGAGGACCTGAAAGACTACTTCCAGGCATGGGGGTGGCCCCTGGCAGAACCCATGTAGCCTTCCTGCCCCCAATAAAGGTCGGAGCCAGCACTCTGCTCTGCACGGAGTCCCACCGTGGCAGCACCACCCAGAAGAAAGTGTCCCTGTCACCTCGCTTTTCCCTGTCCCTTCCCTAGGGAGGGGCACCAGGCTTCCTGGGAGCTCTGGGCCTTCCTCACCCCTGAGGACCACTCTGCCACTGCAGCCTGAATGACCTCATCACACCTTTTTGTTGTTGTTGTTGTTGCTGTTTAGTACCAGGGATCACAAACTCGGGACCTTTGCTTGCACGGCAGGTGGCAGAACCACTGTGCTAAATCCCCGGCCTCATCACACCCCTTTGAGCAGACGTCTCCTCAGCTAAAGCTTTGGTGGCGGCCCTGTTCTGGGACTTTCAGGGGTCCTTGATGTCCTGGGACAGCTGTGTTCACCCTGTGACTGTGTGGACAGCCGGGTTCCCATCCTGTGTCCAGCATGCTTGTCCCCCACTGATGCCCCTCATCCAGATGAGGAGGAGCTCACTGTCATCCTCGTGGTCTCCACTCGAGCTCAGACTCGGCCACATCTCCCGCTCCTCCCAGGAGATCAGTGTGTATGAGAGGCGCGCACAGAAGCCCTCTGTCCTCAGATGGTGACCACGACCCCCAGCCTCAGAGGCCCCAAGGCTGGCAGCCCTTTGCCCAGGAAGAATGTTTACTGCTCCATGGTCACCAAGTGGACAGGACTGCAGAGGGGGACAGCAGAGCTCCTGGTGGAATCTCCCCCCTTCTTGCCCTGCCTGGCAGGGACAGCTGCCCACCCCAGTATCCCAGTGCCTGGAACCCATGTGGCTGGCCATACCGCTGAGGGCCCGGCAGGGACACGGTGGCTTGGCCGAGGTGGGCACAAGTGTGGGTCTGTGCACAGCTCCCTACCCCCACACATGCTCACGCCTGGAGGGGTGGCCAACCCAGGTGCAAACAGAGACGGCGTCCCAGCTCCCGGGGAACAGGGAGCCTCTGTCTGTCGGGGACAGACGGGCCTCTGAGCGACGCGCCCAGAGCCAGCACGTCTGCCCACAGCAGCCCCAGGAGCTGACTGGCAGCCGGGAGACCATCCTGGGCTTGGGCCCTGGTGGCAGGCTGGGTGGGGCCGGCCACATGGGATGTTGGTGGGGGCTGAGCAGGGGCAGCAGTTGCGCCAGGAGACACCAGCCCTCCATGCCCCCTGCCAGGACCACCGTGGGTCCTGGATTCTTGCAGTGCTAAGCCCAACTGGGCTCTTCCCAAACCTGGCCCAGCACGTACTCCCCAGTCTCCCAGGAGCCCGCTGGGGCCTGCAGGTGCACTGGAGATGGAGGACAGGGCGTCAGCCCACAGGGCAGCGGAGGGGCTGGGAGCCATGGTCCCACAACCCTGGCCGGAAGGAAAGAACGGTCCGGAGTGACCAGAGGGGCCCCAGTCCAATGACAGCTAGTGGACGCCAGGCACTGCTGTACATCGGGGAACTGCGGACAGGTGCACATCATCTGCTGTGGCCGCCACCTCTGCCCAGTGTCCCCATCGCCCCAGACACTGCTCCTCCCTGACAGCCTGCTCCTGTCTCTCTTTGTGGATGTTCATGTGAGTGGAGCAACGCATGTGGCCTTTAGTAGCCAGGCCCTCACTGGTGATGTCTGCAAGATCCGTCTACACTGGCACTCGGCCCCTTACTCCTATCAACAGACAAACACTGCCCCCCGTGTGGACAGACCCACGTGTGTCTGTCTGCCTGTGAGAGCTGCGTGGGGCAGTGGAATGAGGACACCAGGAATGTCACGGGCGGGGGGCAGGGAGTGCTCAGCGTGGAGTTGAGGGTTAAGGTCTGCTTGTGATCGGGATGGGCTCTACGGCGGGCAAGCACGGGGTCCCATCAGAAACCAGTTCTTGGACCGGGGATGTAGCTCCACGGTGCTGTGTCTGCCTGGCAGGTGCAAGGTCCTGAATTCTCTTCCCAGTACAGGAAAAAAGAAAAGAAAAAAAGAAAGAAGCCGATTCTTCCTGTAGCAGCCCCTGGAGTAGGTCCTGTCCCTGCAAGGCGGGTCGAATGGCCCGGGATCCACTCCAGAGACCCATGGGCTCTGACCCAAGGTGGCCTAGCCTTGCTCGGGGAGACGCCTCACCCCAGAGGTAGCTCTGGAGGTCCACTCACCAGGACATCACAGGCGACCTCAGGTCAAGATGTGACACATGCACGGCCTCCACCTTCGTTCCTCCTGAGCGCCAAGGGCAGCCACTGTCCCCCATCCTAACTGTGCCACGGCTCTTCACAACACTACCACTGCCAGATCGTCCCCCGCCAGGGACTCCACTGTGTCTTTCCTGCATTCACAGCCCTCCAAGGCCCTCCCCGCTGAGCACTAGCTCGGGGACACTGCCTGTCACCCCCTCCACACATGGCCCTTGCCTCCCAGGCCAGCCACGCCCCCCCGTCATATTCCAGGTGGGCAGGGTGATGGCCCTGTCCCCAGCACAGAGAGCAGACTGGGTCTGCTGGGTAGCCGAGCCCATTGTGTTCCTTACCATGAAGCTCCTGGTGGAGGAGAGTTGCCTCTTTCTCAGACAGCCCCAGAGAGAAACTTGCGAGGAGGGGAGGTGGGTGCCTGTATTCAGATTGGGAGCTTGCAGGACCTAACAGCACAGCTTGGCCACTGCTGAAGAATTGCACACACTCATCCTTCCTTGCTTCTGCCACCAGGGGGCCTTGTGAGGTGTGCTAGGTGGTCACCAGGTGGGAAAGCTGGGTCAGAATCTAAGCATGCCCCCCACGCTGACAGTCCGTCTACTCCACCTCCTGACGGACTCAGATCAATAGGCACTGTCCACCAGGCTGTGGCCATGCTCAGGGTGGCCACTGGCCCCATACAGAGCCATAGCTGGGCCAGGAGCACTCTGTCCATCCTCTGCTCCTGCTACAGAAGCCACAGGGCCTCAGTGCCTACATCACACGAGGAGCCCGGTCTGCCACAGCCCTCCGAAGGCCAGAGACTCTGCTACTTCGTCAAGAGGTCCTTCATTCACTTAAAAATTACTAAATGGAACAGAGAAAGCAGCCCCATTGAATAGAGAGCAAGGTACCTAGGGATAAACCCAAGCAAGGAGATAAAAGACTCGAATGAGGAAAACCACAAAACATTGCCAGAAGTAGTCAGAGACAACCTGAGCAAACGGAAAAGCATCCCTATACTTGGACAGGAAAACTTAAAATGGCAGTACCGCCCCAGAGGCCTATGCAGGGCTCACGCAATGCCTGGCAAAATTCCAGCGGCCTTCTTTCTGTAGAAATGGAAACTCCAGCTTTTAAATTCACATGGAGTTGCAGATAACATAAGAATCTCGAAAAAGAGAAATGAAGTTGGAAGAAATCACACTTCCTGATTTCAAAACTTACTACAAAGCTACAACAATCAGAACAGTGTGGTGTTGGCACCAAGACAGACAAATGGACCAGGACAGAGACCCCAGAACAAAACCTGCACGTGTGTGGTCAAACGATTTTTGACAAGGGCTCCAAGTCCGTCATTCAGTGAGGGAAGGGCTACCTTTTCAACAAATGGTACCGCTGGGAAAACTGGATATATCCACTGTGACAGAATGAAGTTCACGCCGCAGAAAAATTAAATAGATGAAACCCCCAAACAAAGGAACTGAACCTATAAAATTCATAACCAACAGAGAAATCATCTCTCTGAGTTTGACAATGATTTTTTTTCCGAGTTTGACAATGATTTCTTTGAAACCAAAAGCATAGTCAGTAAAAGAAAACATATATTGATTCTACCGAACATACAGAGTGGGAGAGAACATGTAACTCACAAACCTGATAAGGGCCTAGTATCCAGAATATAGAGACCTCTTACAGCTCAACTGCAAAAAAACAATCGAGTCAAAACAGGAAAGGACTTGAACAGACCTTTCTTCAAAGAAGAAATACCTGTGTCCCACAGCACGTAAAAAGATGCCCAGCACCCTTCGTCATTTGGGAGTGCAAGTCAAAACCACTGTGAGCTATCACTTCACCCCCGCCAACCGCTGTTTTTCTTCAAACTGGAAAATAACAAGTGTTGGTGAGGACGAGGTGGGCTGGTAAACACAGCCACTGAGGAGGACAGTGGGTCAATGATCACAGGACCTGTAGTCCACTTCTGAGCACCTACAGGCAACTGCAAACAGACTTAGTGGGACGTGACATCGGGACGTGAACGCTCAAAGCAGGGGCATTCATCACGGCCCAGCTGTCTACCGGCAGATCGACAGGCAGTGCGGTATATTAGACAAGAGAATATTACTCAGCCACAAGAAGGAAGGAGGCCGAGCTCAGCGAGGGAAGCCAGGGTGATGCGAAGAGCCCCTTCTCGTATGATTCCATGTATATGAAATGTCCAGAAAGAGGCGAGTCCAGAGATAGCATATCCGTGGAGGCTGGGCGCAGTGACATGCCTGCGATCCCAGCACTCGGGAGGCTGAGGCAGGAGGATCGCTGTGAGTTGAGACCAGCCTGGGCTACATAGCGAGTTCCGGGTCAGTCTCAACTACATAGTCCCTGTCTCAAACAAACAAACAAACAAAAATAAGACTGAAGTCAGCCTTGAGCAGTTTAGCAAGATACTATCTTAAGATGTTAAAAAGAGTTGGGGGTGTAGCTCCGTGGTGAAGGGGTTGCCTAGTATGTGCAAAGCCCTGGGTCCCATCCCCAACACTGCAAAAGGCTGGTCTCGAACTCACAGCAATCCTTCTGCCTCAGCCTCCCGAGAGCTGTCATGTTTTTAGAATACAACAAAACACAGCCCTCTGAGTGTCCCAAGGCATAGAATCCCGCCCTGGGGGACCAGAAGCCTCACACTAGCCAGCAGTGGGATGAGGCAGACAAAGCACCCTGTCCCTTTTCTGCCAAAAATACAGGGTCACATCCCCCTAAGAACATTCCCCAGGGCAGTGACTCCCTGGTAATCAGTTGCCGGGTGAGGAGCATGGCCAGAGCCAGCCACGGCCACATGTGACCATACTTGGACTCCCTTCTACCTGAATAGGGAAGGCCCCATTCATATGTGAAGTATCAGCTGGAGAATCATGATCTCAGCAGTTCTGGTAATAAGCATGGCAGATTCGGGAAACATTAAATATGCACCATGTGTGACCAGCCACTCGTCTCCCAGGGACCTTCCCAAGAAGAATGAAAACAAAGATTTTTTAAGATCTGTATTAACAGGGCCGGGGATTTAGCTCAGTGGTTCCGGCGCCTGCCTCGAAAGCGCAAGGACTCAAGTTCGATCCCCGGTAGCCAAAAACCAGGAACATTATATCAGCAGACCAGAGCACTGATCATCCGACCTGCGATGATCTGCACAGCTGAGCAGAGGTGAAGAGACGCGCTGTGTGATCCCGTCACACGGAACTCCAGGGTCGAACAGGACAGTGAGTCACAGTGCACCGCCACGGTGGGGCAGCCAGCCGCACACAGAAAACCAGTGCGGACCACCGTGGGGCCGTAACCAGGCCATGGTTATGTGGGAGGGACGGACTCGGGGCTGTAGTCCTGTCTGTCCTGGCCCCCTTTGTGGGAACTGTCCAAGTTCACACTTAAGTTTTGTGGACTTTTTCACACTTGTTTCCGTTCGCAGTGAAAATGCATCAGTGGGAAACTTCTTCGGCCGTCCAGCCTAAGTCTTGCTGTGTTTGTCCACACGGCACTGATTTGGGTGTTTTCCTCCTCGTCACTCTGTGGTTTTCCCGGTCGCCCATCCCTCCCCGACTCCCCTTCTCTTTGGAAACGTCTTCTGTCCTGTGAGTGTGAGAAAGGAGGAGCGGTGCCGGCCAGGTAAGTCCTCACAGACCCCCCAGCTGCCTGTCGCTCTGTCCAGGTCATTCTGTGCACATCCAAGTTTGTTTCTCTGGGCTTTAGCTTTCTGAAGTCAAAACTGAGGCTGAGGGGGCCGGGGATTTAGCTCAGTGATGCCTCCTGCCCCACGAGCGCAAGGTCCCAAGTTCAATCCCCAGTACTAAAAACAAAAAAAAGTTGAGGCTGAGATACCAGTGGCACAGGTGAGACCCACCCAAGGTGAACGAGGCAAAGGACCCTGGCGCCTTCCAGCAGAGTGAGGCCAGCATCTACCTGCCCAGGACAAAAGCCAGGCACAGGCCACCAAAGCCGACAGGACTCAGCAGGGCCCACGCTGCCCTCCCTCCCACCCACCCTCAGACACCCACTTGTCCTCAGGGAAGGTCGCCGAGAGCCCCTTGTGCTGGCTCTGCCCGGCTGCACCTGGGCCAGGGGCAGCAGTGCCAGCCGTGCAGCTGCGGGCCTTTCTGTGGTGGGTACATATTTGCATCTCAATGGCCCTGATTAATATTTAAGGAGCCAGCTGTCCGAGCCACATGAAGAAAGAGAGTGAAAACGCCTTGTTCTTTTTCGGGGTGGGCTCAGGGAGCCTATGGAGTGGTGGCTTCACCCCCACGGGGCTCTGGATGGAAAATGTGAAGCCCCATTAGCCGTGATCAGGGGCTGCTGTGTCCCATCCACACCGACTCCATGTAGTGGCTGTGCGGCTGCGGGGCCAGGCCGGCTCCCCATCTGTCTGCAGTGCCCCCTCATTGCCCCGTCAGTGGTGAAAAACTCAGGTGAGAGGTCGGTACAAGGATGAACTCCAGCAGACAGCCTACCCCAGGTCACAAGCTCTGTCACTGGTGTCACAGGGGAGAAACAGTTTGTCGCAGCAGAAGATGGCAAAAATAAGGGATCTTAACAGTGTCTCCCTACCCCTTTTATCTTATCCAGACTTGGGGCGGGCAGCACTCGCACCCTTAATCCTAGTGCCCTTGAGCCTAGCATCACACGTGAATCAATTCCAACATCACACACTGTAGATCCAGCCACCTCTGAAAAGGCCCCACCTATGATCGCATGAGGCTTTGCGGGGGACATCTAAACACAAGCCATAGCTGCCACTGTCATGGGCTAAACAATGTCCTCAGAATTCACATCCACCCAAAGGCTCAGCATGGGACCTTCTTTGGAAAGATGATCTTTGCAGGTGTAATTAAAGATCACCCACGCAGGTGCGGCCCAGGGCCAGGCGGACCCTCACCAGGCTCCATTCTAGAGGAATAGAGTGGGCATAATCACCACTGTAGTGCAAGCCAGAGAGGACAGGAAGTGCTGAGGGCGTGATACAGGCCAGGGACCAGAATGCTGTGTCCGAGGAGCACGTGACACCTCCCGAGGCCATCTTCGCTTTACCCCCGGGCTCTGACCAATCCCTCAGACTGCTACTCCTGCAGCCTCCGGGAGGGCTCCCAGTGTCCACTGATCCCCTCAAGGGACACAGTGCAGCTGTGGTGCTTCCCCCGTCCTGCACTGCACCAGGCTCAGACTCTCCGCGTGGCAGTCCATTTGTCTCCCACACACCAAGCGAGCCCCTGCCACCACTAGACACTGGGACTGTAGGTGCCAGGCTCCCAGCTGTGGTCTGAGTGCTCAGAGTGCTTCTAGGGACAGTGGCTGATCCACAGGCCTCTGGGCAGCTCTGGTGCTTATCTGGCACGTGTTGCTTCAGTATTCCCCGTCATAGTGCAGGGCGTGGCAGGGGTGGTGCAGCTCTGGAAGCTCCATGCCCTCCTGAGTCAAGCTTTTCCTGCCACAGGGGCACAAAGGGGCCAAGAGAGAGAGATCCCAGAGTGTCCTCTCCTCCACGAAAGGAAAGAGGTCCCCAGGCTCTGTTCCCAAGAGCACCTCCTGGGAATAGGATCTGAATGCAACCCATCTCCAGGTGCAGGTCGGGGGAAAGACAACAGGAGCTGGAGAAAGCCCAGTGCACAGCTCCCAGGAACAGGGAGAGCCAACTGCCCTCCCACAACAAGGCATCCAGCCAGGCAACAGTTAAATGTACAGTGACAGGACACCTCTGCCTCAAGCCTGCTGGGGACAGCTGGGCATCACCTGTCGGGGCCAGCACCACAGCTGTCTCGTGGCAGGAGCCCAAAACGCTGATCCACAAGGTGCCTGGAACTCGGTCTGCACCTCACACACTGCTGGCTGAAAGCAGGGAGAGGCCTGCAGGGGCACAGGCAACTCGTCAACCTGGGCCCTAGGCCTGGATGACAAGCCGCTCACAGGGCCCCTCCGGACCCAGGGTCCCCACCACAAGCGGGGACAGCACTAAGCCTACATCCCTGCAGGCACTGTCTAGGATGTGTCCACGGCACAGCACAGTAGCGCCCACCTCCCCAAGTGCGGCCCCAAGCTGAGCAGCCTCCACCATGATAGGAACAACAAGGCATTGGCCCCATGATGGGCAGTGAATGGTCTCACTGAATTCAGTCTTTACTTGCCCACTTCCTGAAAGATGCTACAAACCACCACTGTGCTGGTCCCCTGGCCTCTGAGCCAAGAACAAGAAAGCACCCCAGGAGGAGGAGTTGCCTCTCCTGCCTTCACGAGGTCATGGTCCACTTAGGAACAGGAAGGGGCACCCCGCATGGAGGGCAAAGCCAGAGAGAATCTGGAGCTGCCCATGACAGGGCCGGGCAACAGGCAAGGCTGGTCTGGGTAGCTGAGAAGCCATCATGCTAGGGACCCGAAAAACACATGCTCATCCTCACCCCAGAATCTGGGATGTAACCTTACTTGGTTAAAGAGGTTTTGCA